GTATATATTAAATATATATACTGTATATATTAAATGAAAAAAGCCAGACTTCCTTGTAGTTTTGTTATAAACGATGCTACAACAGTCTCTCTAAAGGACTTTCAGAGTCGTTCTTTTGACGTTGTCGTGTTTTTACTCAGTTTCAGTCCAGCCTGACAGTTTTCTCATGCTTTTCAACAGAACCATTTACCTCTGTGTAGATCACTCAGACATTAAAATATTGTCCCAAATTTAAAATATAAACTTGTTTTAACTTATTTTTTTAAAGTGGTAATCTAGTTAGTTTGTTACCATCAGTTAATCACAAAGACTTGGTTTCAACTTTTATCTTTGAAAGTTGCTTCATTTAACATGATTTGGGACTACTTTCACATAAACAAGTTGATTAAATGGTTTAAAAAAAGACTTTAGCTTTGGTGCCTGTTTTTTGTTTTTGAATCATCAAATCAGTGTTTAGAGCTCCAGTAAATTTAAACACACCTCAGAGGAACGAGGTCGGTGCTGAAAGTCTGTTTAAGCAGCCTTAGGTAGAAGAAAGCTCAGAGAAATGTTGAACAAGAACCACCTGGCTCTTTGGAAGCAAATACTAAAAGAAAATGTTTTTTTTTTTTGCACAGAACTTGTATCTGTTAGTTATTAAGTCTGACTGAACTCAGCTAACCTGCTCCAGTTTAGGTAGAAAGATTCTTCTTTTGCTTTTCGGTCAGCTCTTCCTCTGTTTTGAACTGTTTTTAGGTTTAATCTGATGCTTTACATGCAGTAGATGCCTTTCATCTGAACATGTTTTTATAAAATCAAGCAGTGGTTGCATCACTGTGCATAAAAAAACAAAACATGACCTTCAGTTTTGTACTTATTTCTTTAGATTTAAATTGAAAATAGAAAATGCATTAGCATCTAACGTTTCAGTCTAACTCGGTTATAAGGACATTTACGGGATTCAGCCTCCAGCACAGTCCACGTCCTGAGGTGATCCATACGTCAACCAAAACCTAATGAGTTCCTGCTCCTGCATCACCAAATTGAATGAAAATTCAAAAACGGTAACGGTAAAATTTCCTCTTCCTCAGGTCGTACGCAGGAGAACTGGGACCCAAACACTGGCCCAACAGCAGATATGAGTACGTGATGAAGCTCAAGCAGGCGGCGCTCAACTTCGCCAGAAAACGCTGGGCTGACTACATCCTGGTTTGTTAGAAAATCTGATTTTTTTTTTTTTTTTGGGACAGCTGTGTCATTTGCTTTTTTCTTTGAGTTTGATTATTGAACACCATCATTTCATTCTTATTTCATGTTCGTTTCAGTTTGCAGACACGGACAATATCCTGACCAACCCAGACACCCTCAGCCTGCTGATGGCAGAGAACAAGTCTGTCATCGCCCCCATGCTGGACTCTCAGGGAGCGTACTCCAACTTCTGGTGTGGCATCACTCCACAGGTGAGCAGCCCATCACCTCRAAAAGTTGATCCTTTCCACGTTTTCCTGCACGCTTCAAGTATCTGCCTGGGTTTTTTGCAGGGTTATTATCGTCGGACAGCAGAGTACTTCCCCACACGTTACCGTCACAGACTGGGCTGCTTCCCGGTCCCGATGGTCCACAGCACCCTGCTGCTGGATTTAAGGAAGGAGGGCATGAAGAATCTGGCTTTCTACCCTCCTCATGAGGACTACTCGTGGCCTTATGATGACATCATTGTGTTTGCCTTCTCCTGCCGTGCTTCAGGTTTGTCTTTATTTATTACCAGTTGTTAGAAAAGACTCAGCACTTTTTCATAGATTGTAGAAAGAAATGGACATCCATTAAAATATCCCTAAAACATCCAGGTAGACATCTTTATTTAAAACTTTATGATCAGATTATTTTGGTTAGGGATGCACGATGTATCGGTATTGATATCAGTATAGGGCCGATATGTAAAACTGGGCCGATGTTAACGTCCGATCTTGATTTCCCACTTTTTATCTTTGAGTTTCTGTTCTGGGAGGGGAGATGGTTGGTTGAGCAGCATCTGTTTGATCATGATAGTGATATTGACGCTGTGTAGCCAGGAATAACTGAAGTAGGAGCCATGTCAGAGTTCTGGTTGTTTATTTATGGTTTCAAAAAAAGACCCAGGTGTGTTTGTGCGTATATGTATAATATAATTTGTGTGTTTGTGTAACATCTGTAAATATCGGTTATCGGACATAACAGCAATAATTATATCGGATATCGGCTGAATTTTTATAYCGGTGCATCCCTAATTTTGGTTTATTTTGACAAACTTGACTGTATGAATGGCTTTCTGTAGGTTTGTTAGATTTGTGTTTATTGATGAAATGACAGAAAACAAAGCATATTGTTTAATTCTGGATAAATCATTGACACATGATGGATAAACTCCTCAAACACGCCACAAAAGACACCCAGTTTGGAGTTTTCAGGGGATGAAAGGCGAATATATTCAGCTGCACGATTTAATCACCAATCATTCTGACTGAATGCGATTTTATGTAATGAAAACAACAATTAAGTCAATTTATGTCTAAGCAACAGAAAAATGATGCATTGGCTGTGTCCAAAACGACAGGCCGGGTCCTCCGGAGGACCCAGACTCCCCGGTCKCGGCGGGCCGGGTCCTTGGTAGACCGGGAAGACCGGAAAAAAAGAGGCTGTGAATTTGGACGGTCTACCCTCCCCTCCTTACCCCGGTGTACGTCATGTCACCTAGCAACTGTGACGACGCTAAACAAGCAAACTTAAATCAAAACTAGAAAAATATCAATACATTAGCATTATTAATATCACAAAACTATAAAATTAACTTAAAGGTAACATTTGAAGAACTAATTGACCCGCTGTAGGTGCATGTTTATTTCGCGTTTTTTTATGATAAAAWTAATATTTAAAAACATGTCCATACAAATGATAAAAGTATTAGAATTACAACCGCTAATTTTTTTAATTTCCATATCACCATATTTTTATTTAAAATGTATTCTTTTCTCTCGCTTCGTCCGCCATTACTAGCTTAAACAAATTTCCGGTCGGGCCGCAATGCATTATGGGATATGCTGGGCCGGGAAGGATCCATCGGACCTGTCCTTCAAATCGGGGAAAAGGAAGGACGTATTTGTCGGACACATTGGAGGAGTCTTCGGTTTTGGACGTCCTTCGTCGCGGCACTGTGACGTATGCGGCCGACGAATTCGGCCTTCGGAGGACCCGGCCTGCCGTTTTGGACACAGCCATTAAATGCCTGAAAAATCACCACAGGAGAGGAAGCTAATTATTAGCTAAAAATGCTTAGAAAACTATTTTTGTTCATATAACACAGGAGTGTCAAACTCATTTTCACCAAAGGCCACATGAGCGTTATGGTGGCCCTCCATGTGCAATTAAATTTTTATGTTTTGTCTTTAACTTTGAAACATCATGTTCTTCGTCTCATTGCTACGGCTGAGCACAGCTAACAAACAATAGCTGAGCTCTACGTGGTATTTCCTGCGTAGAAACAGCTTTTTAACACATCGCCTTGAAATAACGTGAAACAAATAATACAGAAATACTATTAAAATTAAAAATAACAGAGTTTTACTCACTGAGTTGTGGCGAGTTGCCGCCATCTTCTGAACTCTCCCACTTTCCGACAGGGAATTCCCACTGGAGTGGTGTTCCAGTTTAAATTTGCGACATGTAAGTGGGGATGTTCCTACTTCCCAGTGCAATCGGGCTGCAGCAAAAACAGCTGCCGAAAATTCAGCAAAATATCAACTTTACGAGGTGAATTTTGCCGTCTACATTTGACCCTTGTTCTCCTCCACCTAGTGATAGGATACTTTCATTTAGTGGGTAAAATAAATTGGCGTGCATTATGGGAGATGGGGTTCACATCTTTTGAAGTTCTTGGGCCACATTTGGCCTGCTGGCCTTGAGTTTGACACGTGTTTTAAGGGTATAAYCATCTGTTAAAGTATGTTCAAGAAAAGTATTTATAGTTATTTCTAAATTTATTAGGGAAGTAAAAACTCATGGCTTTCTTGGTTGCTCRTTTTGTTGCTGCTCAGCGATCCAGATGTATCTGTGCAACAAGGAACGCTACGGCTACCTGAACGTTCCGGCTAAACCTCACCAAACCCTGGAAGACGATCGCCTCAACTTTGTCCACGTCCATCTCGAGTCCATGAGTAAGAAAAGGACTAAAAATCTTGAAAAACCTCTTTTCTAATCAACCACATGTGCTTTTAAGGTCAAGCTGTGTTTTTTAACTCATGTTTTACAGTTGATGGGCCACCCATGTACCCCTCAAGATTYGTTCACATGTTCCCAAAACAGAGAGATCTGATGGGATTTGATGAGGTGAGAATTGCAGAAAAAGCTTTTTGTTTTATATTCACTGCTTTTTTTAACGGTGCTTACTAATTAAAAGCAGCATATGACTGAAATGATGGGAAGTTTGAAACAGAAAACGACGTGCAGCTCTAACCTGACGTTTGTCCTTTTGTCCTCAGATTTATCTGATTAATCTGCGGCGCCGGTCGGACCGAAGAGACAGGATGTTGTTTTCTCTCAACGAGCTGGAGGTTGACGTCAAAGTGGTGGATGCTGTGGATGGAAAGTGAGCGAATGCTGACCCTCAAAATGTTATTTGCCGTTTTTTTGCTCTCAGAGTGCAAAGATTGATCCTGCATTACGTAGTTTTCTGTTTGTTGAGGCTCCGTTTATCATCACTTGAAGCAAGATCTAAAAAAGTATAAACAYGTCTATCTGTGCAGTGTATGCTCATTTATAAGATTTGTAGGTAAAAATAAAAAAAAATGTCAGTAATGTTCAGTCACAGATTCATTACGAGATTAACAGCAGTCATTTATTTGTGTGTGTGTGTGTGTGTGTGTGTGCAGTGCACTGAACAGCAGCGACATTAAAATCCTGGGTGTGGACCTGCTGCCAGGTTACTACGACCCGTTCTCCGGACGCACGCTCACTAAAGGGGAGGTGGGCTGCTTCCTCAGCCATTACTACATCTGGAAAGAGGTGAGCGATGTCAGCCACACCCTGATTATTATGATACCATCATCAGCATAAAGATGAAATATCAGCACTGATACACCAGAAATCATAAACAAGTCTTTGTTTATCCTGCGGAGGAACACACATTAGTGCTGTCCTAAATGATTATTTTTCTCTCAATTAATCTAACGATTATTTTTACGATTATTCGATTAGTCTAACGACTATTTTTTTGATTCATTAACGATTATGTTTTGTTGATCGAGT